ACACAGTCCTTCTCACCACCACCACATGCTCAAAACAAAACAAGCCAACACCCAACAGACCTACAGATAGCCTTTAATCTTGGTTTGGGGAATCGTGAGACACACTGAGAAGATGTCATGCAGAAGCAGATTAGAGAGAGAAACAGATTAAAAGGGAATTCTAGGGTTGGGGGCTGGTGAGTGGTGGCTGAAAGAGAGTGTGGTTTGCTTGCTCCTAAGGGAATTCTCACACCTTTGATCTGACTTGTGAAGGGAAGTAAAAAACAGAAAACTGCTGCATTCTTGATTGCGTTCCAGGAAACCCAAGGAGATATAGAGCGCACTCTGACTTGTTGGCACGCAAGCCTCTTTGACCTCAGAGCAGCATACTTGACACACATAAGCCAAAAAAGAGATTCCCTCTTTATTCTGATAAAAGATCCTAAGGAGAATTGAGTGATAGATATATGTATTTTTAAGGCCCAAATCTTGGTGCTACTGTGGAGCTATGTGCAGGATTTTTCCTCTTTGTCAGCAGAAGCGTCTAGGGAGAGATATTGTAGCTAAGCTAGGAGAGGTAGTCAGGGCTGGCATCCCGTCTCTGGAGAAGCCTTCAGTGACTGGCACCAGATGAGCTCAGGAATTTGGGGGGGATGGAGGCTACCCAGATAAGGCTCTGCTGCCTCCCTGACCTCTCTCTGCTTTGCTCCCAGTTCATTCTGTAGATAATACACGCATGGACCTGATCATCCCTGGGGAACAGTATTTCTACTTGAAGGCCAGAAGTGTGGCCGAGAGACAGCGGTGGCTGGTAGCCCTGGGGTCAGCCAAGGCTTGCCTGACGGACAGTAGGACCCAGAAGGAAAAAGGCAAGTATTGATTGTCCTCTGGGCTGAGAACCTTGGGAAGCACCCACTGGCCTCGCAGGGTCCCCTGTTTGTTATCTAGCTTCTGACCACTGAGCCAGCTTTCTGTATCATGCGAATGATACAACATACAGTGGAATTTAAACCATGGGCTCCACCTAACTTCTTAACGTATCATAGTAGAAAGTACAGGCTTTGGAGCCGGGTACAACTGGGTTCAGATCACAGCTTTGCAGGTTACTGGCTTTGTGACCTGGGCCGAGGTCATGTAACCTCGCTGATCTTCAGTTTCCTCATAGTTTTTAAAAACGAAAGAACCTACATTAGAAGGATTACCACAAGAATTAGGGATGCTGTGAAACTGTCCATACCCAGTCTGGCACAAAGTTCACCTTTGGTAAAGAGTCGCTGAGCCAGAGAAGCTTTGGATCAGGGTGCTTTCTGTAGTGACACCCCGCTCTCCCCTCCTGTCCCTGCGGTGGGATGGATACTCAATTGTCAGGTTGCTACCACTTAATGCTCATTAACTCGACATCATTAGGTCTCCTGAGAACCATGGCACAACTTTCTATCTGGACTGGGTTGCCACCTTCCCAGGTTGCTACCTTCCCAGCTGCCTCGCCCCATATGTACACCTGGAGAAATGGGTGGGAGAGGAGAGTCTCTAGGAAAAAGTGTTTCAGAGTACCTTTCTCACGGCAGGTGCAGCAGATGTGCCTAACTCTTTAGATAGACAGGAAATGGGCTCCGTGTTGGTGTTTTTTAATGCTACATCGGGAGTAAATTCTAGACTGTCAGCTTTGACTCTGATCTGGTGCTATGTGCAGCTTTTTTATGGAGAAGAAACACCGGTGGTCACGATTGTAGCTGAGCCCTCAGCGCCAGGGTGGCTGGAGTGCTGTGCTAATAGGGGAGCAGCCGGTGCACAGAGGGTGCTATTAGCCTTGACAGGCGCTGGACCGGTCCTCTGGGTTAACGAGCCGTCTTATTAGCGGTAATTGCACGTTGCAGAACAGTTTCCCAGCTTTGAGCACTGGGTTAGCAGGTCGATAGCTATGACCCCATTTTACAGAAAGGGGAAAACCACAGTAGAACTGAGACTAAAGCCCTGAACCTGACTCCGCTCCCAGTTCGGACAAGTGGATCAGTAGCATGCTGTCTCCTGCTGCCGGTGCTGTCGATCATGCACGATGCTGGTTCAAGAAATAATGTAGATCGCTTCAAAAGACCGGAAACCTCCTTTTTCTGTTTCTCCTGCCCCCATATCTTCATCCTTATCCTATCTGTAACTCCTACCATAAACATCTGACTTTAAGCATAGGTCATATAGTCCACAATCTGTGTAGCATGCTAACTAATAAATCATTCATTTTGATAACAACTTAGATTATCATCGTTTTGTTATGTAGAATTTGCTGAAAACACTGAAAACTTGAAAACCAAAATGTCGGAACTTAGACTCTACTGCGACCTCCTTGTCCAGCAAGTGGATAAAACCAAAGAAGTGACCAGCACTGGCGTGTCCAGCTCTGAGGTAAAATGCTTCTCATCACCACGTGCGAGGTAGCACCGGATGGTGCTCCCCCGTGATGCTAACTCTCACATAACCCCTGATGGTCTTGGATTTAATATTTTTNGCGGTGCCCAGATATTTGGCCAGGCATCATTCTTGCTGTATCTGTGAGGGTGTTTCTGGATGAGATCAGCGTTTGAATTGGTAAATCCAGTGAAGTAGATAGCTTTCCCTAATGAGTGGGTCCCATCCAATCAGTTAAAGACCTAAATGGAACCAGGAGGCTAAGACGGAGCTCTTCCTGCCTGAGTGCTTGAGCTGCGACACTAATCTTTTCTTGCTCTCGGACATGGACTGAAACATCGGTTCTTCTTGGGTCTCAAGTCTGCTGACTTTCAGAATGGGTACCATCGGCTCTCCTGAGTCTCCTGCTTGCTGACTCAGATTTTGGGATTCCTCAGCCTCTATCATTGTATGAGCAATTTCATATATATATATATATATATATATATATATATATATATATATATATATAGAGAGAGAGAGAGAGAGAGAGAGAGAGAGAGAGAGAGATGCATACATACTATTGGTTCTGTTTCTCTGGAGAACCCTCACTAATACAGATGGGGTTCTAAAATTGATAAAATGTAATTGCAGGTATCCTTAATTCCTTCTACTCAAAAGTCCTGGTAGATTTGGGAAATCATCCTACCAGAGTCACAGGAGCTGAGCTGTAAGTGCGAAGATGGCTACTGTTCTGTACCAGGATAGCTACTATTCTGTAGTTCTAGAAATGGGGCTTGAGGGTTATTCTGCGGGGAGGGGCAGGGGAGAAAGCCATAGTTTTCTTCCCAAGTCTTCTGTGTATTTCCTGTGTGACCTTAATCTACCTGGGATTGGTTTCCTTATCTGTAAAATGAGCTGGTTGGACTAGATGATTTCAAAGGTCTCTTCCATTTCTCAGGTTCTCAGGTATTGATGCTTCTGTTTCATTGTGGGGAGGTGGCCCGAGGTGTAAATAATTAGACTCTCTTTCACAGGGCTAAAATATCACCAATAATGTCTAATTCCAGGAGTGTGATTCTCTGCTCAGCTAGACATAGTCTGATGATCAGT